ACAATTCTTACTGAAGTCTACACAACTTGATGTTAAATATTTATCATGTCTTTCTTTTAGGACCACCACTGTTTCCAAAGTCTGTCCAACTTTTCCCTGGTCTTCAATGTGAAGGCATTGTTGTACCTGTTGTAATATTAATGACATAATGCTTTAGGTGATAACACTTAAATAAATTTTACTTCCTACTCAATCCATATGTGAAGCCTCTATTCACTTGTCATAAGTATCTCACTCATTTAAATAAATAAAAAATACCCTGTGTTCCTAATAAAAAAGTAAAAGTATGCAGGTGCACTTGTGGTTTAATAGTAATAAATAGTAATCAAACCTGTGCAAAAGAGATGAAAATGTAGGTCATTTTTAATTGTATGAACATTCATGGAGGGTCTAAATTAAAATACTCTTGAATGTATATCTTCTATAAATGTTTATGCTACTATAAATATAAGATGTATTTATATCTTATTGTGGGTATATTTTTTAAAAATCCAATATGAGATTGAATCATATTGTGGAATTTCATATGTCCTCCCAAAGGATATTTTATTATTTAGAAACATCCTTTGGAATATTAAATGCCAAGTAGTCGAGGATGCAATTGAGACCATCTCCATTTATAAATCACTTTTAAACTTCTTTATTTTAACCTTATCATTTCCTGAAATAAGTGTTTATAAAGGATTAACTCCTCATTGGCTCATTTCAAAAAGTTATCACCTTCTCAAGAATACATATAAGACAGGCTTTCCAGACTAGGCTAAGCAGGATATTTCTAAGCCTCTGCAGGCAAAAGGAATGGCCAGCTTCTCCTTTCGGGATACTTCTAGGTCTGGGGTTCTAGAATTCAACAGAAGAAATGGCTGTAAAGATCTAAAGGTCATGAGTCAAAAGCAACCTTTAGATCACAGGATCCCTGGATGTTTATCTCCCTGATAACAGTTGGTATTGGAATGAAGTCTAGAATGTAGAATGCCTTACTCTTTACTCCTATTGCTAAACCCTATTGCTCAATGTAAACAGGGTTCTTTTTCTATGAAGCAAAAATATTCCAATTGTGACATCACCATTGGTTGCTGAGGAGAGGATTAGGTTATCACCAATAAAGGCTTATCGCCCTAGAATGAAAGGATGGAGCAAATGAAAACACAAGGAACACAACACTTGTCCCCTTCCTAAGTGCATAACCTTCCATGCGGAGCGCAATAAAGATGAACTACAGAGAAGGAGGCTTTGGCTCAAGTCCTCTGGGAGAGGTTAGAAAAGCAGCAAATTAACCTGTCTGATACCTTATCAGTCACTTTTGAGTAATCAACTAAGTTAACATTCTTGCCTTCCACAAATCATTAAGTCATATATCATAGACCCGGAAATCTCCTAGTTCCCCCAGCATAAAGTATGGGTGGAATGTGAGGAAATGTCAGATTAAGAGGGCTTTTCCCATCAAAAGAGAATTAGTGGTTCCCTTGGAACTTTAACCATTTTTAATCTGAGTAAAGTCTGCCCCAGTAATACCAGGAAGGCAAATTGTTCCTAATCTATGGTGCTGTTTCATGGGTTAAATCAGGACTTAATGGAATTGCACTGAGGGTTCTAAGGGAACAATGGTGAACTCAATGACAACACCTTTATAACCCCCAAATGTCACGTGCACAAATACAAGATAGAGGACATGAAAGGGTGTTAAGCTTGGACTCATTCTTCATGGTTTTAGTGAAAGAGTAGTGGGAGGGAATGGCTTGTAGATAACCTATTGTTCCACCTCCTCCCTTTGCTCTCTTACCAAGATCCTGCTATTTCATGATTAAATTCATGATATAATTTTTACTCTTGCCTCAACTTCTCCACCCCTCTGAGAAATTCAACACAAAGCATGGAGATAACAAAACCTATTAGAAACGGCACACACAACAAAAACAAATTAAGAGCTACCATGCTGTGCCCAGGCCAACATGTCAAGAAGACTTCTCTATCCTCCCACAGTTGGCTTAGCTTGGGGCTCATATAATAGAGATTCACTAGATTCTTGCTGAATATTTAGGTATTTTCATATCCACTGAGACACTGAAGATAAATCTGTGGGAATCAGAATTACATGCAAACCCATGTGGCTCTGTGCCCTCTTATGCTGGTAAACAGGGCTGTAGGGTCTGCACTTGGTTTTGAATTCCTGTCCCAGAGGTCAGCAGAACCTGGAATGGCTTTCCCATCCCATCACCCTGGCATGCTTTGGCTAGAGAGATCTGACTAGCATTAACACCGTGAGAAGCTTTGAGAGGAAGACAAATAATAAAAGCACAACCCAAGTTGGTGGACTTTTATGCAAATGACTTATGTCTTATTTATCTTTTTGTCTCTCAAGGTACTAGCCAAGTTGTCTAGCCTCAAACCTTCCTTACTATCTGGTTGGTAGGGATGGGCTTCTCTTCAACTTTCAACTGAATAGTGGGCACATGAACTGGTTTTATGAAAAGCACTAGCTGGTTAAGATAACCCCACCAGCTCCCCCAGTCTGCACAGCCACTCTCACCAGCTGTGACCAAGACAGGTGGCCTATTAGAAATTTCATCAACAGCAAAGAGGGGGGGATGCATGCCTTGACCTCCATAGCACTACACAATTTTACTAAAGGCTTCTTCTGCCTTTATACTCTAGATTTGCCAGTCTTCTCCACAAAGAGCTGTACTTTGGGAACTCTGGGATCTCATTATAAACCAGAAACACCACACTGCTGGCACATTTCTGCCTAAATCTCCCACTTCCAAACCTCACTCAACTCATGCGAGAGGTTACAAATCTTAAATCCTGCCTGAGTTTCCAGGGCCACTCGGACACTGTTGCAGGAACCCACGGCTGTGTGTTACATAGTGGTATAACAGGGCCATCATTTTATTGCTCATGATTCTGTGGGTTAGGAATTCAGGCAGGGCTTAGTGGGACAGCTTGTCTCTGCTTCATGTGATGTGGCTGGACTCATTCATGCAGCTGCACTCAGCTGTTGGCTGGGCTAGGCTGGAGGACCCAAGAGGGCCTGATGCTAAATGTCTGCTGGGTCACCTTAGTTCTCCTCCTCTCGGCCTCTCCTCACAGGACCTCAATATGGTTTCTCATCCTCCAGCGCTTCTGTCTCCACCTGCTCTCTCTTCCCCTCCAGCAGGATAATCTGGCCGTTTTTAGAATTGGGAGAGTTAAAGGTAAAATTATAAAGTCTCTTAAAGCCTGAGCTTGGAAGTTTCAGAATATGCCTTCTGCAGCATAGAATTGATCAGAGCGAATCCCCAGGTCAGCCCAGACTACAGAGGTGAGGAAACAGATCCCCCCTTTTGATGGGAGAGGTAGCAAACATGGACAGACTTGGGAGAAGTTGTGAGCTGTTGTCTCTGTACACCCTGTGGTTTGGACCACTAGAAACTGCTGCTCTCTGTAAGGCTGATATGTAAGGTAGTCCCTAAATTTTTGCCCGGCCCCATCTCTGTTTCTCTCAGTACCAGACCAGGCACCTAACTAATATGCCTTAGCTAATCTGAACCCACTCAAGCCATGGCCTGGAGCATACCCTGAGTGTACTTGCTCGTGGCACATACACTGTTCATGCAGCAGAGGGGGAGCTGGGAGCTATTGATTTCCAAAGACCTCTAGACCATTTCATAATAGAACTGTGGTGAGAAGTGACCCCGTTCTCCCTCCCTACCTCTAGCCCTGATCTTTGGTCTGGGTCACCCTGGAGACATTTGTGTGACCATGTGCCATTGGGCCTTCCTCAACTTACTCTCTCAGCTCAGACTTTAAGTGTTATTTTCATTGGCTCTGTACGTCCCTGCCCTGTTCCAGGATCTTCACAGCTAACCTGTACTACCTGTCCTTTTCCTAAAGTCTTCCTCTTGGTTCAAATACCTATGGGGCATGTGGCATGGGCGGGGGGGGGGGGGGATGCAGAATGGAAAATGAAAACTGATTAGAATGTATACATTTGGTCCCACCTTGACACTAAGCCTTTGTCCCTGTTCCCTCCACCTTCAACCTTAGGCAAAATTCCAAGAAATGATCTTTGCTCTTTACTGAGAAGGGCCGTGATAGACACACCCCATAGGATGCTTTTTGTATATCCGAGTGAGTAAAAGGTCATATACTTTGTACGCAACTTCAGACTTTGGTTGAGAAGTTGTGATTGGATAAGTATTACAGGACAATAAAAAAACAGGATGTGGCATCAAGGAAAACACAAATATTATCTTAAAATAATATGCCAATCTGCACATAGAGACAAATCTATACTCCATATAAATATCATCCGTATTTTACTCAAATACACATGACTCCTCTATACCAGTTCACATGGCACAGTGGTTCCTAAGGGTCACACACCATGATAGGAATATAGTGAAATAAGGATAAACTATATCCCCAGGAAAAAATGTAAAGAAAGATAACATTTTGTATTCATTTCAAAACATTGGCTGATCCCATGAGCTTTAGCTCCATGAACTTATAAAGATTTCCAGAGGAGGTGGGATGTGGCCTTTTGGAAAAATCTCAAGGAAGATGAAGATCAACTTAGAGCAATTTTAATGGGAATTACATGGTCAGGACATATGCATTCTCCTTCAGCATTCCATTCTAATTAATGTCTCACGTGGATCTTATTACGCAGGTGACCTCCTGCCCTTTGGTCATCTCCACCTTTCTTTCAAAACATCTAATGGAAGTATCCTATCATAACCATCAAGCTTTCAGGCCAGTGCCCCTTCTTTGGAGGGAAAAAAGCCCTCTTAATCTTCACCTCACATGCATCATAGTTCTGAGTTTAGTCAGAGGAGGATCCTATCCTGGAGGATTTGAATGACTGTCACACAATCTTCTAGGGCATCGGTTCTCAACCTTTGGGGGTCGAACGACCCTTTCACAGGGGTCGCCTAAGACCATCGGAAAACACATATTGTTTTTGTGATTAATCACTATGCTTTAATTATGTTCAACTTGTAACAATGAAATTGGGGGTCGCCACAACATGAGGAACTGTATTAAAGGGTCTCGGCATTAGGAAGGTTGATAACCACTGTTGTAGGGGAACAGAAACAAATCTGCACAAGGTCAGGTGTAGTTTGGGCATTTCTGAAGCCAAGTACTAAGTTCATTTTTATGGGCAATGTGTGCAGATGCTGTGCTCTTAACGATTTACCATTTCAAAGGAGGTCTAAGAAGAGTCATGAAATGTAACCTGATAGTCAAATCTGAAAGCACTTGAGACTTCCCAAGCATAGCTCAGCATCTCTTCTTATATATATAGTTCAAGTGCAATGTCTAGTCCAACAGAAATCCAATTGTTCAGATGGCCTTCACACTACACATTTAACAAATTTGCCTCATTTCTAGATTATCACTGGCTCAATCCTGACCATGAAGAGGAAAATAAAATAATATAATAACACCCTGGGCAGGTAGAGTGCCTTTTATCAGTGATCTCAAAACACCTCATAAGCGTTAATTAGTTCTCTAAACATGCTGGGAGTGAGATGTGGTTATGACCGTCGTGCTGATGAAGAAGCAGATGTTGGGTCAGGGATCGGTGACTTACGATGAACCACCCAATCTTGACCAGGTCTGGATAGGAAGAAGGAAAAAATGTTTAACTCAGAGATAGAGCATTGAAACTACTTGCCCAGCTTTGGTCATCAATTGCCAGTTAACACTGCCCTGGCCCCATCCATCATCACCATTTGCTGTTTCTTCCTTGTCTGATCATCTTTAATCTCATAACCAGCTATCATAAGCACGTCACTGAAGCAGATATTGTTCAAGCTGACCTTTATAACTTCCTGCAAACCAAATAAAAAGGAAGCAGGACAGTAAGAGTATAACACATTTATTTCTCAAGCCTCCCAGAGGATTCATTTTAAGGACAGTCTGGGCTGGAATATCAGACTATAATCAAACCCACTGTAGCCCTTGAAGACTCAGTTTTGAATGAGTTGTTCTTCCTGTGGGCACTAATGATAAGATGCTATCTGGCTCCAAGACGCTCCAATATATTGGATAAAGTGCGGCTAATTTTAGTCTTTCTTGTTGCATATTACATACCGTGAACTGGCTAAGGCACTGTGTTAAGAGAGTAATGTCTATTCAGAGGGTATGCTTGCTACATCTCACTCACATATATGTGAATTATGCTCTCCTTTTCCTCTATCCTCATTAATCCTCTAGTTTTCCAAACTTTCTCAGTAAAGCACATTCAAGCCTCAGTCTGGGATTAATATTAGAACCAGAATAAATCCAGATCAATGCTCAGAAAGATCATCTTACCAAAAAGATTTCAGCCCTAACCGGTTTGGCTCAGTGGATAGAGCATCGGCCTATGGACTGAAGGGTCCCAGGTTCGAGTCTGGTCAAGGGCATGTACCTTGATTGCGGGCACATCCCCAGTAGGGGGTGTGCAGGAGGCAGCTGATCGATGGATGTTTCTCTCTCATTGATGTTTCTAACTCTCTATCCCTCTCCCTTCCTCTCTGTAAAAAATCAATAAAATATATTTAATTAAAAAAAAATTCCAGGAGCTTCTCAATCTGTCTGACCTCTTCAATGGAAAACATCTTCCCTTTTTTTCTGTTAATATAGCAAACCTTTGATAAAACAAAAATACGTATTATTCTATAAAATATATATTAAAATATCAGAATATATTTGTTTCCTGTATCTTCTCTTCACTTCCCAAAATAGGCAACAGACAGAGATTAGGACTTAAACAATGATAACCACTATGGAATGAAGTGTGGACTACAAAATAAAATCATGATAAGTTGGTTCCATGTCACATCGCTAGAGAGAAAGGTTACACACAGCTGGGAGGAAAAATCTTTTTCCATTGACCCTCTCAAAACAAGCCATGACTTCATCGGGGTTGGCTATCTGGTAAATTCCACTAGAATATCATGCTCTGGAATTTAGGAATTAGAGGAAGGGGCCAGAGGAAATGTTAAAATAGCCCTTGAGGGTAGTCAAGCATGGCTCACAGATCTGCTGCCCTGGGGAACCCACAGCCCTCGGGGAGCTGCAGCAGTGATGTGTTTTACTTTTCTATTTCCAGCCTGTGACTCACATCACAAATATTGACTTCTATTTCTCTATTAGCATCAGATTTTTTCTTGAATCCTCCAAATTGACTTTGACTATAACTTTGGTTAATATTAAACCTCTTGGGTCAACACGTTTTTATAGCTGTGAGCTGCTCCAACCACATGGACTGGGGATTGGCAAAGAAGCATTACAACCAGGAGCAGGACTCCGAGAAGGCTCCTTTCAGGTCCCATCCCCCTGCTCCCCATCTACCAACCACCGTGAATACTCCTGCCAGATTCATCTTCCACAAAGCACCAGTGGGGTCATGGTTTCCTGGCGTATAAGCCTTCCATGACACTCCATTGCCAAGAGCGGGAGATTTGAATTCTGTACCCAGTATTCAAGGGTATGAAAAGACTTTATTTTGTTAAACCCCAAAGACCTTGACAAACATATCACCTCCACATATATACATAATCTTTTCCTTGCTTAAATCCTCTAAGCACTTTGGGCCTTTCTTACCTTACCTGTGCCCCTCCATCAGAGCCTCTGCCATACCCATCTTTGCACCCTCCATACACCTAGCATCAGAGCCAGGCACATGGGAGATGGATGAGTAAACATTTGCTGAGCTAAATTGTCTCAAGGTTTATTTATTTCCTGTAGGTACATGATTAATAGTCCCATGAAATAGTTAAAATAGCCATGCTGCAAGGTGGCTGGAGCAAGACATCTCAGGGGAAACTGGGTGCTTTTGGGTAATGCCCAGCTAAAAGAACATATATTAGTATTATTCTTCACCTTATCTGGGAGAGTAAAAGAAATTATAGCCAAAGTTGAAATAAACATGAAAATGTAAGTCAGAGAGAGCAAAAAAAAAAAATAGAAACCCACAAGGAATCGAGCATCTGAATAGCCTTTGTACAATGAGGTCTTTTGGGGAATACACTAAAGACAGAATTAGGGCAGGAAATGTGTTTTTCCCTTTCCTTCATATATTTTCTGGTGGGCAACTATAAGTATAAAACGATGAAAAAGAAAGAATAACAGGAGAAAAACAAAAAAAAGGGGGGATCCTAAAAAGCAGTTATCTTACACAGAAGAAAAGAAATCCCTTGTCAACAAAACATGGCTTTGACCTCTCTCCTTCACTGAACTGGAAATAACCAGATAATGACCAATCCCTTGGAGGAAATAGAGGGCCAGGGAAGCCAAATTGTTTTACCTCCTCAGGGGACAACTACTTTAACTGAAGGCAGGCATCTTGGCCACGACAGCTGAGCACCCTAGCATAATTGGGTACCTGTGCTGCTGATGGAACCCCCTCCATCCTGTAGTGCTTGTCATGTCTCTACTCAACAGTAACTGATGCTATAGGTGCTGAGGATACAAAACAGAATTTTTGACTTTGTCAAAATATATTCAAAGACCCTGAAGGAACAGCTGAATGGCTCTAAAAGTTGGTTTGCATGTAGTATTCTCAACAAAGTTGGGCAAGACACCTAATTTCCCAAAGGGCTGGTAAATATCTTTACCTCATATGTTATTGACTATGCCCAGCTGCTAATTTGCATTTGCACAAATGTGACCATGGTTGAAAGAAGGTGAGGAGGGATTTCCAATCAATTGCCAGCATGCTGGCCTCTTTGGCAGTGCAGGCCAAGGAACGTGTGCAGGTGCAGGCGGGCTTCCGGGCACATGGATTCGTCTCTCATCCACTCTCTAGTGTTTCTGCAATAAAAATAATTGACCCATGTTCAATATGGGCCTTCCATCAACTGCTTTTTATCAACATCACTTTTTTTGAAACACTAATACCCATTTGGTTTTAGGAAAACAAAGGGAGCAAGAGGCTATTTGAGATTCAGACTTTCTAGAAAGTCTATGAGTGATTTGTGAGTTTTCTCATGCTCTGCAGTAATGGATAAACAGGGGACGTATGTTTCCATTTTATCATATCCCTGTGGATGCTTAAAGTCCATATTTTCCTGTTGCTAAAACTCAATGGGGAAAAAAAAACTAAAAAAAAAAAAAATCCCTCAAAAGAAAAGCACTTCTTTTATGACTCATGTTCAATGTCAATAGAAAGATTTGTTTCCTCTGAAGGTACACTTTAAAAGGAAAAAAAAAAAAACCTGAAAATTCTATAATGACATAAAAATCTTGCCACAGGTTATAAGACCAAGAGAAGACATTGTTCACCGAAATAAATCCATTTGTTCCTTTGCACATTCTCACTCTTTTCTTTCTCTCAAAATGAAAACGATACCATCTTCACCTTCCAACACAGGCATGTGAGGTAGTTTTGTGAAAGAAAACTAAAAGCTGAATATTCACTGAAGTTTGTCAGGAATCCAGTTTGAAGTGTGAATAGACCTGTCTATCAGGAACAAGCAAATGAGAAGGAAGTTACCTTTCTTCAGACCTTCATCAATATATGTATGAACGGGTCCCTGACTTTGTTGTCCCAGACCAATACACAATACATTTCTGGTCAGTTTTTAAATAACATTGACAACAATAATAACAGTAACAGCTAAAATTTCCTAAGTGCTTTCTAAGTGCCAAGCACTCTATAAGTACTTTTCTATGCATTGTTTCATTGATTCTTCATATGATCTCATAGGCATGATCCATGAGATTTCATCATTTCACAGATGACAAAATAATATTTCCTAGGTGTTGATTCAAAGTGGAGTGGGTGGCAGGCCACATTTAGGGGCAAAAAATACAGACTGAATCCCTAGAAAAGAAACTTCTATACCTCATACTTTGGATTTGAATTTACTTTGCTTTTCAGAGCGCAGGGAGAAAAACAGAAGGAGGTGGGTTCAGGGAGTTATGATGACAAGTTCTAAAGTCTACTGGAAAAGCCAGACACAAGGTACTACAAATAGGAGGAAACCCCTTCCTAGTGTGAGGCATATACCCAACATTTAGTGTGCCCAATAGATATTTACTTGGTGGAGGAAAGACTGCTTCTCTCCTGCATGTTAAAGTGATTTCTAGAAGATTCAAAACCTCTGGTCCAATGGCATATGTCCTTCAGAGAGGAAGGGTGGGATTCTGAGAGAGAAAGAGAGAGAGAGAGAGAGAGAGGATATAAGCTACATTAAAGCACTAGTATGAGCACTTCTGATTACTGATACTTCTTGGGAAGAGTTGGGAGCATGTTATAGGCAGAGTGGATGATGGATGCACCTCCCTCTGAGCTCAGGACATCTACCTACTGATGTCTGCAGTTTTAAGGCTTCAAAAAGTCTCCACAGCTTCTCAGTTCGGAGCACTAAATAGGGGAGGATTAGTTCATGGTCTACATAGGATTAAAATGCTCAGCTTCCCTTTCCTGATTTCTCTCTGCTCACGAGATCCACAAGCCAAAAATACACTCTGCCTGCTGCCGACAAGGCCACAGAGCTGCATCATGGTTACTGCCCTCCCAGTGCCCTTCCCGTTTTTGACCCATTTGCTATCAGAAGTTTCTTTCCTGTTGGGCCTTCTAACTCATCAGTTAGCCTGGAGGGAAAAGGTCCACCAAGCAGCTGTGTCCCTCGTGCTTCCTGCGGGCCTCACCGTGGCCTTAAGCTTGCATTTTGCATATTGGCCAGGCTCCTGCCTAGTTTTGCCCTCCCTGCACCCAGCACTTTATTCCCCCGAGAAGACACACCCTCTGACTTCCTAGGGTCCCTACTTTGGCTGCCTACTGCACCAAAGGCATACTCTTGATCAAGTCTTTTTCTACTTTGCTTTGTACACACATCTCATCTAAAGGGAGTAGGAGCATCCACTGTGCAGCTTCTAGATCCTGCTTCCAGATGTGGACTGCAGATGGCAACTGATCAGATGCGAGCCTCTGTACCAATGGAAGACTTGTCTTTTGGGCAACTTTGCCTTAACTTGGTGGGAAGGCACATGTTTCCAAGTTTCTTCAGGAGCTAATGTAAGAGTGAGAGTTTGGGCACAGTGAAAAGTCAAGGGCCACAGGTCTTCAGAATGCCTCGCCATCGCATCAGCAGGTAATGGTGAGTGCTCTAATCTCTGATTACATTTCCCGCAGCCTCAGCCTTCACTGCTGCCTTTCTGCACTCAGATGCCTGGCCTCCCTGTGGCCCTCAGTGACGACTTGATAAACCATTGACCTCAATTATTAAGTGTGGAGCAGAAACAATATTAAACCTGACTCTCCATTCCCAGTTGAGCTATCATGTGTCTCTCCGTAACTTGGCAGGAACCTTTTTCTCACCCCATGTCCTTCCTATTACCCTGCAGTATGTCCTGAACCCTCCCAACCCCAGGAACCCCAGAAACTCAACTCCAGCTTCTCAAGAGTGACACTGTTGGGCACCTGTGCTGGCGGATTTGCAGGTCAGCACTTAATCAGCAAGCTTCTCCCTTTCCCAGAGGCCTGATGATGGTGGGGGGTGGGGAATCGGGAAGGTTATTCCTTCTTTCACTAATCACTATGGATTCCTGGGAAGCAGTGCTGTGCCTCCCTCAAAGGAAGCTGAGTCATTCCCAAGCAAAGAATGACTTTTTTGTTTTGTTTTATTTTAGTTTGTTTTAGAAAACGGCGTCTTAGAGGTTTCTAGATAGGGAAATGGAAGGAACTTCATCTCTCTTGGCCAGGGCAGCCTGCAACTTCTAGAATGCCCGGTTGCTGAGTCATTACCCAAAGGAATCACAAGGAGAAACTCCACTGACTATGACAATAATTACTGTGCCCAGTCATATATATGTAGCAAACACCATGTGACAGGGATGTCTTCAATATCATTTAATCCTCACAGCAACCCAATGAAGTAGGACTGTTTAGTTCTAGAGGCAAAGAAATATAGGGAAAGAGGTAGTAGTATGCTGGTACCTGTCAACAACTGACTCTCCGGGCAAAAAAGTCCCAACATTTGCCAGTTTCTATGGGTTAAATCTTCACTATGTCATGGGAGCTTTTACACTGCCAACCTGATATTGGTAACTGCAGAGTTGGAAAGAGTCATGCACAATCCGTTTTCTTGAGTTGATTCCAGCACACACTAGACAGAGAGGTTAAGTCACCTCCTCAAAGTCACAGAGCAAGAATGTGGTTGAGTTGAGTTTTGAACACAGGCCACACTGCTCCAAAGTCCACACTCTTAACCACTAACAAAGCACAGCCAGAACCAACTAGAAGGGCCCTCTCTGATTAGCAGACTGATTGGAATGTTTATCTTAATCAGGTAATTTCACAGATAATCACAATGGTATTTGTTGGCACAGATGAAATAACAATGTCTTGATCGTTTTTGTCTTCCCCACACCTTGATAGAGTGGTTAACATCCATAGATGTTAATGGCATTTTACTGCGTTTAATCGGCTGACATTAAAGGGCGTGGGGCTGTCTTTGGTGAAGTCCTTGGAAGACTGAGGGTCAGTATTCTAGAGATGAGGCCGAGGGAGAAGCAGCTGTACAGGGTGAAGACTGGCAGAGCAGATGGGGAATGTGGAGCAGGGCCCATGGAGTGGACTTCCCCCATTTGTCTTTTCCCCAAGGCCTATCCTGGCTCCTCGGCTCAGAACCCTAAATGGAGCGTAGTTGGTGACACCCCACTTGTTGAGAACTTGTTTCCCTTCTTTGCTGCATTAGGCCACCAGTGAGTCACTCTGGTTTGTCTTTCAAGTAAAAGGTGGAGACCGGAGAGGCAGGGCATCCTTTGCTGATCAGTGCTAGCAGCTGCCTGGAGTATAAAACTGGAATGTGGTGTGTCTCACTGCCGTATGTCTAGACCAAGGAATTCGTTTGTGAGGCCCTGCCTTCAGAATGAACACAGGAAGACTCAGCCCAGAGGTGTCAGACCTGGGCCAGACCTACCATGTGTACACACATGACCTTACTTGATGCTTGTCAAAACCCCAAGTAGACAGTTTTTATCTCCATTTCTCAAAGGGAAAAACTCTGCCGTAAGTGTATCTTTCTGGTCTGGCAAGACACCCCCAGCCCATTAAGATGGTTGAATGGAGAAGACTTTGATAAAGGGACTGCATACAGAGGAGTGGACAGGATGGAGAAATAGCTGGAAGAGCCATCCCAGGACTAAAGGCAGTGGGAGCCTTCGCTAGTCGCAGACTTAGAGTGGAAGGGAAGATTAGTGTGACTGGTACCCAGCATGGATCACAGCTATGGAGGGAGGCCACAGGACTGGAGCCATGGCCATTCCCCAGGAGCAGAGCCACTGATAAAACCATAACCTGACCTGAAGGAACGTGAAGAATAAATACCCCAGCCTCACCCTGACATCAGCTGAAAGCTAGGGGGCAAAGAGAGGGGTCCTAGCTTCCTGGACACAGAGCAGGACAAAGAATGGCAGAGGCAGCATCTGGGGGACATACAGAGACATCAGGTGACTTTCCCAAACTCGCAGAGGGAGTTTCTGCTGGTGGGGCCAGAGAGAACACAAGCTCCCAGTACAGAAGAAAGACCCAGGAGACGGGCCAGTCCTTGTGACTTTAACAAGCCACTTGAGTTGCCTGGGCTTCCATTTTTTTCATCTCTAAAATGGGACATTGGACTTAAACCATAAGACACTGCCACTCAAATACTTTTAACATGTAGCTTTCCCCAAAGGCTACTAGTCACGCCATGCCTCACTGAAATTAGAATTGATTTCTCTCGTGTCTTCTTTTCTCCCTTTGAATATAAAATGCCTTGGGCATAGCAACATGAAACAGCAAAGCAGCACGAGAGTGTAAAAGCTTACAAATCACCATTTGGCAGCCCGAGGAGCAGAATGGTGAGGCACAGAGAATTCCCAATTACTCTGAGCTGCAGCAGGACCTACTACATGGCCTTCATGCTGAATGCAGGATATGGGGCTTCCAAGGGGTTAATAGGGCTGGCACTTCATGTGGTGCTGGTGGGCGAAGGGTGGAAGGATCCAGACCCACATCCCCACCCCCCCTCCCAAACACAACATACCACCAGCAGCAGCCCACACTAGGTCTGTGCAAGATTTCTGGGTGTATTTTTAGGATGATCAGTGAGTGCTACATTGTGACGTATTAATACTATAGAATAACCTACACCACTGCACACAGGTGCTCTGATAGCACAGAGCTCCCAGGGTCACTACTATAACCATTAAATGAATGCAGCGAAATGCATGACATACTGTAGGCATGTTAGAGATTGTTTCTTTCCTCTACTTCTGGAAAAAAAAATTTTAATCCTCACATGAGGATATATTTTCTATTGCTTTTCAGAGTGAGGAAGGCAGAGGGGGGAGAGAGGGAAGGAGAGAGGGAGGGAGGGGGAGAAGGAGGGAGGGAGGGGAGGAGGGAAAGAAACATCGATGTGAGATACATCGATTGGTTGCTTCCCACACATGCCCCGACAGGGGCTGGATATTGAACCTGCAACTCAGGTACATGCCCTTGACAGGGAATTGAACCCAAGATCCTTTGGTGTGTGGGCCAACACTCTAACCACTAAGCCACCGGCCACACACTGATTTTCCACACACTGATTTTCTCAATACTTTTTATATTATTATTATTACTTTTTCACTTCCTCTTCATTCCTGCCCTTTAGATGCTGCAGCAAATGTCCCCCAATATTTTCGGGTTTTTAACAAAAGTGTTGCTTTAAAAGATCACATTACAAATAAGGAAAGAAAGAAGAGAAAGCTCAGTCTGTCAAGCATGATAAGATGAAAACTGCTTGTGGCTGGGTTGAAGGTGGCCTGAGAAGGGGCTCAGATCTCCACTGAAAATGTGACCAGAAACACCCATCAGAAAGGATATATGCAGCCCTATGTTCATAGCAGCACTATTCACCATAGCTAAGATCTGGAAACAGCCTAAGTGCCCATCAGCAAATGAATGGATTAGAAAACTGTGGTACATCTACACGATGGAATACTATGCTGCTGTAAAAAAAAAAAAAAAAGGAATTCTTACCATTTGCCACAGCATGGATGGAACTGGAGAGCATTATGCTAAGTGAAAAAAGCCAGTCAGAGAAGGATAAATACCACATGATCTCACTCATTTGTGGAATATAGTGAACAACATAAACTGATGAACAAGG